AAACCCTAAACCCTAAAGGCTTTCGGCCGACATCTTTGACCTTTGAGCACCTTTGGCAGCTCGCCCCAGAGCTGGTGACGCGCTGGGCAGTGCGGGATTTGGCTGTCAAGGGCTACACCGTCCATTGCCACTTTGCAGACGTGGTGGCCCTGTCGAATCTGAACCGGCAGGAGCTGGTGGGAGGCAGGCAAGGCACGCCAGGTTTGCTACCATCCTTCGAGGAGGAGGTCCGCCGCTTCGGTTCCGGGAGAGGGAATCGGGATATAGAGTTTGCGTTCATGTTCGTCTCGCCATGTCTGCCCTTGGTGCTGGCTACACACATGTTCGGCATGTATGACTACCACAACTGTCCTCTGCGCAAAATCTCTCTGTCAACTCGACTAGAGAATATTGCGGAGAGGGAGGGGCCTGTCGTGCTTCCGGCAGGCAGCATTGTCATGGTGGACACGGACTCTCTTCACACCTTTCTGGACTTCAGCAGTCAGCTGCAGTCGCCGGTCGTATTAGTTGTGGGACGACACCGTAGAAGCCACTGGCAAAGGCAAGACTTCCAGCTGAAGTCTGTGCTTGAGGAGCTTCTGCGCAACACTTTTATCCGACATATCTTCATGCAGAACCCAGAGCTGCAGCATCCTGACTACGAGGGCCTGCCCATGGGCTTCAACCCAGACCAGGCCGGATCCCTCACCCACCTGGGTCGGGAGTTGGCTTTGGCCGAGGAGGCCGGCCGCTTGACGATGGCGGCCAAGAGGGCGTCGCCTGCCTCCAGCTTGGTGCACGTGAGTTTCCTGACGCGCGGGACCACGCGACGTCACCGGCCAGACTGGTTCCCATCTGGACTCCCGCAGAACTTCTCAGACTACACAGCTTCGCTTGTGCCCTGGCACTTTCATTTCTTTGTCAGTTGCTTGGTGAAGCAGTGCTTGTCATAAAGATTAGAAAATACTATGCTGTTGTTGTGCTGGCAAGTAATTCCTTCTTTATGTGGCAAGAACGCGTACCAGATACTATAGATACTGACCCTCACTAGACACAGTCACGCTCTCCCTAAGGGTCCATGTACTCATGTAGCATATACATGAGCCCTAAAGTTCCTATATAGGGACTACATTAATTAAGGCCAATGTATATACTATAGTGGCCATAGCAGTTCCTTTTTGGGGACTACCTTATAGGATTCTAAATATGAAACCCAAAACGGAACTACCCATAGGCCCCACTGAGCACATGGACCCTTACGGTCTGGTTCTTTGCCAAGGCGCGGGCACTCTACGTGACGAGTCCTGCGGGTGATCGGTTCGAGTGCTACCGTCACTGGGAGTCCCTGGCCTTCAAGGCAGGGCTTAGGGTTTGGGGTTTAGGGCACCTAAACCCTAAACCCTAAACCCTAAACCCTAAACCTAGGGCAGCTTAGTTCTCCAATACCCAACCTTTACACTTCTTGGTTCGCTGGGGACCGTGCTCATGACCCGACGTGCTGTAAACTTTTTGGGTTCCTTAAGTTTAGTAGCCATCTTTTGGGTTCTTACTCCTTAGTAGCAATCTGAAAAATTAACCTTCTATCTCCTTGGCTTTTTGGGGACCCAAAACCCTAAACCCTAAACCCTAAACCCTAAACCCTAAGAGGCAGTTCCCATCTCGAACTTGCCGGAGCATCTGTACAGTTCCCTCTTCTGCGAAAGCGCTTGGGCTCGTTGGCACATGGGTAGTTCTCTACATTAGGGTCCCTTTTAGGGTCCTTTCTTTTAAAGGGTGCCGTACTATTTTGGGGTGCCTAAAAGGGGACCCTAGCGTAGGAAACTACCCACATGCTTGAGTTGCTTGCAATTTGTCGTTCCTGGCAACTTCATGCACCTAACCGAGGTATGGAGTTTGTTCATACCGAGCCGATGCTGAACAAGTTCCTTTCGATGAGCTCCCACGAAGCCTGGGCTCGGTACCGCCAGCCATCAAGAGACTTGGTTGAACCTTACAGTCACTTTATAGCCTTATGACTTTTAGGATTAGCCTTTTTTGGTATTAGGGGTACTAAAAGTTATAATTTTAGCAAGGTAGTAGTTAAAGAGCAACCCAGGAGATGTCCTGATGGTTCGGTTTTGGAGGTCTCGCCTTGCCCTGGCCACGCAGAAGGCCAAAGGCCAGCTGTTGCCCTCCGTTTGCGCTTCTTTGAGGCACTGAGGGATTCAGATCGGGGTTTAGGGTTTAGGGTTTAGGGTTTAGGGCCGTCCGTTTGCGCTTCTTTGAGGCACTGATCGGAGCTCTGTGACCCAACGGACGTTTGCTGACGAGACCACGGCGTCCGTGAAGTCAAGGCTATTGCCACAGTCCAAACTGCTGTGCCAGACGTGCCAGGATCGCGAAAGGCGCGCTTCCAGGGGTCGGTTTTGGATTTTGTGAGGTTTTCTGCAGCCTGCAACGCTCTGTCCTCCATCCTGGCCAGAGCGATAGGCTGGAGCCGATACCTCGTAGCAGACCCTCCTGACCCTTACGCAACCAAAACCCTGAACCTCAGACGCTGAAACCATATTCAATCAATCCTTTGGCAGCCTTGTGACCTGCAGCCCTATAAGCTCTGCAGCCCTGTTTTGAGCCCCGCAATGCAAAAGAGAACCATCCTCCAACATGTCCAAGACCTCTGTAAGGCTACAAGTACCTCCGCTTGCAGCACGACACCACGTACCTTGGCTGGTACATGGTTCATGGCTAAGGGGGTGTATAGGGGGCTGAATGATATTCAGCATTGTTCTTTAGAGCTCTTCAATAATATAACTATGGTATAATATGAATTGTATGATATACCCCCAATTAAAGTCTTATTGTATTTGTCATGTCACCTATATCAAGGCTTCGTGTGAGCGGCTTCGGGCTACCAGTCTTCCGGTTTAGGGCACGCCTACCTCTGACTTCGGCTCGTGTTTGTTCACCCGGTAAAGACCGGTTTACATATAGGCTCCATTAGAGTTCCTTTTTGTGGTTGATATGTAAGATCCTATAAGGTAATCCCACAAAGGAACTACTATGGAGCCTATGGGCAAGGTTTACCTCAGAACCACCACAAGCTATTTTTATTCGTAGGCTTCTACGGGTTTATAGTAAGAGACCCCAAACCCTAAACCCCTACAAACCCTAAACCCCTAAACCCCTAAACCCCTAAACCCCTAAACCCTTAAACCCCAAAACCAAAACCCTAAATCCCCAAGGCCCAAAACCCTAAACCCCTAAACCCCTAAACCCCAAACGAGCCTTGGAGAAAAGTAGGTTCTGGTATTGTAAGGTGGGCTTTAGGGAGATCCAAAGCCATGGTGTGGTCTTGACTTCTAAAGCTTCCTTGGTTTCTATGCCAGGGTTTGCGGTTTGGGATCTAGGATTCAGTTTTTAGGATTTGGGGTTCAGGATTTAGGGTTTAGGGTTTAGTTTAGGATTTGGGGTTTAGGCGGTTTAGGATTTGTGGGTCAGGAGTGCCGCTGTGATCTTGGGCCTGGCGGCTTCCCACGTCTCCTCCATGGACGCTGGGCTCACGCGCACGTGCCGAGCTCGGGCTCGGGGTCAGAGAGATAGGGTTGCGAGATTGGTTTCGAGCCCCTAAACCGTAAACCCTAAACCCTAAACCCCAAACCCTAAACCCTAAAACCCTAAACCCTAAACCCTAAACCCTCGCTCTCCAATTTGTAGTAGCCTGGTTCTACCCTTTCGGGTTTATGTATGGTTTAGGGTATAAGGCTGCTGGGTTACACATCATAAGTACTGTTTAAACATAAGAATCTGGAGCTGTAAGGAAACAGTGTTGCAAGACTTGCGCAAGGTTTCGTGGATTTTTTAGCGTCCGCTCGAGGCTGAATCTCTGTCCTTCAGAAATGTTCGGTGTCTTTTTTCCATCGGGATCCAAGGGGGGCTACAACCTAGTCCACCAATTCTGCCTAAACCCTGAACCCTAAAACCCTAAAGCCCTAGAGCCCTAAACTCTAAACCCCAAAACCCAAAAACCCCAAAACCCTAAACCCTAAATCCTTCTCCCTAAGGTTCCCTAAGGATCCCTAGTACTCTGCCCCTTGAACCACCCTCCCCCTAAATGCGTAGGGTTTGGGGTTGAGGGTCTAGGGATCGTGGCAGTCAGTGAAGGTAGCAGGTAGCAGGGGCGAGTTCGGGTCGAGGCGACCACTTGCATGGGATGATCTTGCAATCATGTTCAGAGTGTGCTAAACTGTAATGTAGATCACTGATAAATCGCACCCTTCCCTGATGAGAATTGTAGCAGGATTACGAACTTGAAGAGAGGGGGTTCAGTAACCAGCAAACGAAGCACCCCACTGCCATAGCCTTGGCGAGGCTATCTCGGGCTTCCAATGAATTTTCGGTGTTGAGGTTGCAGGCTAAACTTCTTAAGGGATTTTTGCTGCTGTTCAGCACGAGTGGGTATAAGTTCACCGCTAACATAGTTGCTCTGAACTTTCTGTTGAGGTTGTAAATTCGAAGGAAGTGGTGGGTTTGTGCATGGTGGCTGAGTAATGGAATTCTCGACGGTGCCTTGTTTAGTTTTTTGTAGGTAATTACAGCATAATACCCCCACCCACAGCAAGTATAAAATGCAGTACTCCCCCGCCCCCCGCTCCCAACGCAAATCTGTAAGTCTCCGCAGGCCCTACCCAAGTCTACCGTATGTCTATCTTCCTTGATCTTAGGTGTTGTGTGCACATCCCTTCTATGCTTCCGGTCACGTTCTCCGATGTCGAGGCAGGGTGTGGCTCGCAGGTTCAGCCTTGGGACCGATCATTACGGGGCTTAAACCTACCATTAAGTTACGCCCTTCCAGCAAAAAGCCTCGAACAACACCCTAAACTTGTTTTAACAAGAGGAAAACTTCAAACTAAACCCTCAACCCTAAGCCCTAAACCCTGGGGCTAAAACCTTGGGGCGTTAACCCTAAACCCTAAACCCTGGGGCTTTGATGCTTTGCAACTTCGGGTGGTTGAATGGAGCTGCCGGTCGCCAGGATCCGGTTTTCAGTGATGCACCCCAGCTACTAAAATCGTAGGTTAGTGTGCCGGGCTCATAGGGTTCAGGGCTTTGGGTTTGGGGTTTTATAGGGTTTTATAGGGCTTTTGGGAGTTTGGGAGTTGAGGAGCTTAGGGGGTTTCTAGGGCTTTTAGGGCTCATCGGGCTAAGGGCTCATAGGATCTTGGGCTTGGGGGTTGAGGTTTAGGGTTTAGGGTTTAGGGTTTAGGGTTTAGGGTTAAGGTTTAGATTGCTGACCATAACAATATGTACACCGGTATAACCCGTGATTCAGGTAACTAGAGCCGTAGAGACGAATGTTGCGGCTTGTGTGGCCCAGATGTGGTCCCTTACTGGGGTTGCAGGGTTTAGGACCCTAAACCCTAAACCCTAAACACTAAACCCTAAACTCTAAACCCATAGGATAATTAGGGCTCAGGTTCGAGGCTTGGCATCGTTTTGGTTGTTTTGGGTTGATCACGATACTCTAGCCCCCGAAATAATTACCTATACTATTTTGGTGGTTCCTTAGTATATTGTATAATATACCCCCAAACCCTATTCTATTGAGGCCCCTATACTACACGCTATACAGGCCGTTAAGGGACATTTTCAGGTGAGTAGCTACCGTTATAGGAGCCTTATAGAAGGTCTATATACCTCATGGAAGCCTGATAAAAGCCCTATATACCCTAAACTGAACACGCTCGCACCTGGATGTCTTGGTTGAGTGGAGCTTCCCTGTCACGGTAACTCCAAACCCTAAACCCTAAAACCCTACACCCTAAAAACCTAAA